TTTTTTTTTTTTTTTTTTTTTTTTTCAAATAAATTGAAATAATTAATTTTTTATTAACGATTGATTGATTGATTGATTCCTTTTAAAAATTAAACCTGAAAAAAAAAAAAAATGTTTTTATTACTTAATTTTACTTAAAAACCAATTAAATTTTTTTGAATTAAAAAAAAAAAAAAAAAAAATGTTTAAGTTTTAAGTTTTAAGTTTTAAAAAAAAATTTATTCTTATCAATCAACGTCTGCATCCTTAAAATTATAATTAAAACTTTTTTTATTTTAATATATAAAGATACCTAAAAAAATAAAACCTGATGTAAAAATGGGGTAAAAACTTTAATTGTATTTATTGTAATATATATATATATTTTTTTAGCATTTTTTTTTTTTCTCTTCATTTTATTACAATTTATTACGCAATTTTTTTTTTTTTTTTGAGGAGGAGGGGGGGGATGTAAGTATTAAAAATAAGTAATTATTTAATTAATTTTGAATTACAATATAAAATAAAATGCAAAAATTAATTAAAAATCATATGGAATAAAAACAAGAGGAGGAAAGAATAAAATCGGAAATAGTTTTTTTTTTTTTTTTTATAAATAAATGACTGCGGACAAAGTCTAGACTTATTTCCTTCAATGCATCACAAAATCATAAAAAAAAATAAAAAGAAATTTATAAACTATTTTAACTTTTGGCAACTCAACTGATTCATAGGGAAGACATATTAATTTTCTGTTATTAAAATTCTATCAGTAAGATTAAAAAAATTTTTAGTGTCCGGAAAAAGTTTCTGCTTTTATTCACACACACACACACGTTGTTCGTTGTATATAATTTTAATGAAATAAAAATAGAAAGAAACTAATAATCATTTTCTATTTATTTATTTTTTTATTACGGTTTTTTCCCCCCACCCCCTACCCCCATCCTTATATTTAAAATAATATTTAATTAATTACCAGTGAGTGAGTGAGTGTGCGTTAGACTGCTTTCACATTTTCAAAAAAAATTATAATCATTATTATTATTATTATTTTATGAATTAATTAATGTACTTAATTTAATTGCTTATCAAAAATTATTATTTATAATTGAAAAGAAAATAGAAAGTAATATTAAAATCAAGTTTTTGATATTTAATCGATTACGTTTTCCCTAAATGTTTCCCCCTCCCGCCCCCCATTTAAATCACATTTGCAACTAACTATCCTTTTTATAAAATAAAATATAAATATTTATCCCTCATACGAAGTATTTTTAATAACTGTTTCCCTTCATTGACGACATTTTTTTTTTTTTTTAAACAATAATAAACATTATTTGAAAAGTAACAATATGGTTTAACGATTCCAGATTTATTGTTTATAAATAAATATATCCATAGATCTTTCTTACATAAAGTAATAATAATAATAATAAAATATAAATAAAATAATCGAATTATATCGATACCTTTAAAACAAATTTTTAAAAAATTTAGTTTTTATTCTTTCCATTTAATTTTAAATAATTTTTTTTTTTTAAAAAAAAAAAAAGTTAAAAATAAATAAAATCCCCCCATTTTCTTTTTTTTTAATTAAGGGAAATTTAAATGAGTCAAAAAAAAAAAAAAAAA